TCTAGCTCCCTAGAGGGCGCTTTATCGCTTCAGAGAGATCTAATCACCTTGCTCAAATTAGGAAAATTTGAACTCCGTAAATGGGCATCAAATAACCCTAAACTCATCTCTCATTTGTCCCCATCGGATTGCCAAATCCCAATAACTTTCGAGAATGATAACTCCGCCTCTATCAAGATTCTGGGCCTTCAATGGCACCCTTCAACCGACACATTCACCTACTCATGCACCCCATCCGAAAAAACTTGCACTAAAAGAAGCATTCTATCCGCTATTGCAAAAATTTGGGATCCTCTCGGCTTCTTATCTCCGGTCTCATTTTTCGCGAAAGTTATAATGCAGAAGCTTTGGTTATGCAATATTGACTGGGATGAAACACCCCCTGAATCGATCACTACCCTTTGGAAGCAATTTAGTAATCAATTAAATAATCTTTCGAGTATCTGTCTACCTAGACACATTTTTCCAAATAAAATTCAACCTTGTCAATTGTTAGGTTTCTGTGACGCATCAGAACTAGGATATGCCTGTTGCGTGTACATTCGTGTTGAGCTACCTAACAATATTATCAAATCATCACTAGTCGTTGGGAAATCACGAGTTGCTCCCCTTCATACTAAATCCATTCCTCGTTTGGAGCTTCTTGGAGCCACCCTGCTAGCTGATTTGCTCGAATTAGTTATCCGAACTTATTCTTCGCTGATCCTAATCGATGAAATTCTTGCATTTTCGGACTCACGTGTTGCGCTGCATTGGGTTACCTCATCTCCTCACAAGTGGAAAACTTTTGTAGCGAACCGCGTCAGTCACATTCAAGAAACCATTCAAGTTCCTTGGTACCATATTCCTTCACTCGAAAACCCGGCTGATTGTGCCAGCAGAGGTCTAACCCCAAACAGTCTAATAAATCATCCTCTATGGTTCCATGGTCCGCCTTGGGTAATCCTGCCAACTTCCGAGTGGAAAATAAAGAAATTCGTAGAGGAATTTTCCGAGGAAGCACCTGATGAAGTCATAAAAGAGGAAAAGCCACTTAACAATACCGTATTAATGGCAGAATCGCATACTCCAAACTTTTTCGACAATCTAATAAGTAAGTTTTCTAACCTAACCCTAATTCAAAAAATTATTTGCCATTTTCTAAGACTTATTCATAATCGAAAAAACCTGAAAAATCCAATCTTGGGACCCTTTGCAGCTTTCGAATTGCACAAGGCCTTGCTTGTTTTAGTCAAAAGGGTCCAAGAAGAGTGTTTTCCAGACATAATTTCGAAAATACAAAATAATGAATTATTACCTAAGCCGTACCGCAAGCTCGCCCCGTTTTTAGATGAGTCGGGTTTAGTCAGAGTGGGCGGTAGATTAAGGCATTCTCAGCTCTCTTTTGAGGCGAAACATCCCTTATTATTACCCAAAATTCATCATCTTACCAATTTAATCATAACTCAAACTCATATCGAAAATCTGCACCCTGGGCTTAATACAGTGCAGTATCTTATTCGCCAAAAATTTTGGATCATATCTGCGCGTAAAGCAATTCAAAAGGTCTTATCCCAATGCATTCGATGCGCTCGTTTAAAACCTAAATCATACACACCATATATGGCAGATCTACCCGATTTCAGAACTTCCCAGCTGAAGTGTTTCTCCCACGTTTGTCTGGACTATGCTGGTCCAATAAAATCCTTTGTAGGTCAAAGACGTCGTGGAGCGCAAGTCACGAAATCGTATATTGCGGTGTTTGTCGACACTTGTGTCAAAGCTATCCACATCGAGTTAGTTTCAAGTTTGACTACGGAAGCTTGCATTGCAGCGTTACGACGCTTTGTAGCTAGACGTGGCACTTGCGTTCAAATCGTAAGTGATCAAGGAACCAATTTTGTCGGAGCTATAAAAGAACTCCAAAACCTGTCAAGATTAGCTGCGGAAAGTCTGAACATAAAGTGGCACCTGAATAGTCCTGGTGCTCCCCACCTAAATGGCTTAGCGGAAGCGGGAGTCAAATCTGTCAAAACTCATTTATATCGCGTAATTGGCAACCAAATCTTAACTTTCGAAGAACTCTATACCCTTCTCTCACAAATAGAGGCTCTTCTCAACTCGAGACCTCTCTGGGAACAGAGTTCAGACCCAAATGACCTGTCACCACTGACACCTGGTCATTTTCTGACCACAGAACCATTAATTTCTTGTCCTGATCCGGACCTTTCTTCCCTAAAACTAAACACTTTAAATCGTTGGCAACTTGTTCAACGCCTTCATTCAGATTTTTGGAAGCGTTGGAAAATCGAGTACCTTAACACCTTGCAACAACGTTGCAAGTGGTCCGATCCTTCCGTCGAAATTAAGCTTGGCGCTTTGGTGTTAATCAAGGATGAATCCAGACCACCATTGCACTGGTCACTGGGAAGAATAGTAACCGTGCATCCTGGTCCGGATGGTCACGTTAGAATTGCTACAGTAAAAACACAGCACGGGCTCCTTACTCGTCCAGTGGTAAAGTTGTGCCCTTTGTTATTAGATTCGCGTTAAACTCAGATAAGCAATCTCTGTGTGTTGTGTTTTGTTTTTGTAGTTTTATTCTATTTTATTCTATTTTATTATTAGTATTATATATATTTTTTCCTCTCATTTATTCAACGTAAAACTCCGTTTTAAGTGGGCGGTTAATGTTCATGCAACTTTGTTATTTTATATATTTATTCAAAAATACGAAAGAAAAAACCGTTAAAAGCCATACAAGTTCAAATCAAAATTGGCACCGCTCGCGCAGACTCGGCGTATGTGAAAAATATGTGATTTATGAGAAGGAAGGAGACAGTACGAAGCCGTGTCTCTAAAACCACGTCCGCTTTTTCGGTCGTTATCAAAATCAAAAAACCTATCGAATTCAAGGCAAAAATTCCTTATTTTTATTTCTAAGACTGTGTTGTATCGGTGTGTCGCTGAGAAGCAGACTTTCTGGACACGAGGAGCTCCTCTGGATCGACGAAAACCAGCATAAACCAAGTAAGTGCCAATCCTCCATTGTCTTTGTATGGCTCGGGTTTATGTCCATTAATATTTGTGCGGCAAAATTGAATTTAGCGCTACAGTCCCGCTGCTCTTTAAACTTTCGAAAACCTAACGCAAATTTTCGTGAACATTATTTGGTCCCACGACCCGATTAATTTCAAAAAAGAAATAATTTTGGTCTCGCGAATATTATTTCAATTTTTTATCGTCATATAATCCACCAACTTTGTCTAAATAATGTCAATGAAGATATTTTTTCTGTATATCAGCCCATTCTTGAGTAAATATAATATTACAATGTGGAAAAATATGTATTGCCAATATTGGCTCAATAATGCAAAAAAAAAAAAATATTTTTTTGTGCTTATCGGTTCAATGATGGATAAATATATCACTGTTATATAAGAAAAAAATGTATTGCCAATATGTAACCAATCTTGGCTATATGCTGACGATAAAAATATTTTTTGTGCATATTGGCCCATTCTTGGATAAATATATTATTATAATGATGAAAGAAGTTGTATTGCCAATAAATGTCCAATGTTGGCTAAAAAATTCCAATATTGGGCCAACATACTATATTGGTCCAATGTATCCGCAACATGGGACCAACATTGTGTGCTACTGGGGAGGGCTTTGCCCAGGGTTACTGCATCGCCAATTTAATGCTTTTATTTCAAGATAAGATCCATAGGTTCAGATCCACGAAAAGAAAAATCGTGAATGTTTCTTAAAATCAATTAACACTCTATTCTGAGAAATTATCCCTTTATTCGTACTTACCTACCTCTACAGGGTGTCCCAGGGAAAACAGTGCACGTCGATTTTTGATTTGAGGGGGAACTATTTTTCAGTTTTTTTCATCTCCGTAACTTCAACCCTCTGGCTAGGGAGAGAAAAACCTCCTAAATTTGAATAGGGGTTAAGGGTCATGTTGTACCTCTTTTCAAAGTTCTCATCGAGTTCTTTATTGCCCTAGAATTTCGTCTTATTATTTTCATCCGTAACGAAATGATAGCTTGTCAAAATCTTGGAAATAGACTATTGTTTTAGTGTGAGTAAAAGCGGAACTTACCTCCCTTGATGAAGGTACAAAAAGTCGACGTGTCCGAGCGTTTTTCCAGATTTTCATTCCAAATCTAATAAATCGGGGTGGACTGGTTTCCCTGGGACACCTTGTATAAATATAGTCATGAAAAAATTTTTATCCTCTTGAAATTGATTTAAAATACTCAGTGATTTGAATGACTCTTTGTTTTTTCAACTAAAATATTACCTACCACCTTCAAACAAACATTTAGTCGCTGATTGTACTAAGTAGGTGTTTTATACTTGAAATTCCTTCGGTTAAATTAGCGACTGAAAAAATTTGCATAAAAAATTAATTTGAACATGAGGATTGTTTGCCAATGTGAAGGACAAAATACTTTGGTATATATTAATGATTGCAGACATTCTTTCAACAATTTTTTTTTAGTATCAACACCAAAGACTTTTGTTGGTATAATATGTCTTAGGTGTGACTTATGTAAATGTAACGACAGTTATCAGGTTATCAGTGACCGTAACCTTTCGTATTGTTTGACTGATTGTAGTTATTATGGAAATAAATAAATCTGAAAGTAAAATTCAAATATTCCAGTCCAGTAAGACATTGTCTTAGTTAAAGATGGAAGAAACGTCTCTACTCATCATTTTTCAAGTGAGCGAAGCTACATTTAAATTAATGGGATGCCCATGAATTTTCATTTATTGTCCATTCATATTTATTAGAGCCATCAAAATAGTAGTTGTGTAAGGAATACATAAATATTAAATTTTAAGTCAGACTTACGAGAGACATAAATTTATATTTTAGTTTTCTTTTTATTTCGTGTTCAAATTTCAAGAATTTGGTATTTATTGCACGTTTTATAATTTTCCTAAATTGAATACAATTACATTTTGATATTACAATATGATAATTTTCTCAATTATTTCAGTGTGTCAAATCAACGGTCAAGTGGTAGCGGAAGACCGTGACGTAGTTTCCGAAGATGATCCCTGCCTAAAATGCCGTTGCAAAAAAGGACAATTGACCTGCTCAAAAAAAGCGTGTCCTGTCCTGCAATGTCATCCCAGTATGCAGCACAAACTACCAGGCGAATGTTGTCCAAGGTGTAACGGTACCAGAGCCATTATTCTTCTAGAGCACACATGCCCCATTCAAAAATATTTGTATAAAGAGGGACAGGACTACAAAATCGACAGGTGTACGCATTGCATGTGCATGAATAACACGTCGATTTGTACTAGGAATGCTTGTCCTATTTTGGATTGCTCGTCGGATTTACAAAGGACTATGCCGGGACATTGTTGTCCGACTTGTATCAAACCGAAAATCGAAGAAATGATCTCGGAATGTCATCAGGGTGGACATACTTATGAGGCACGTATAATTTAGTTAGTTGTTATGCTATTAGAAATATTATGCCTAGACTGATCACCTATAATATTTATCCTGATGTAGGCTCATCCAAATTCAAAACAATTATTTTTGTTTTTTTGGCTTGTACTGCACTTCAATTGTAATAAAAAAAACCTCGAATCCAATACTTCTTATGAAACTAACTGTATTTTCAGTTCAGGCTTGAACAGATTATATAGAAAAATATATAATCGTTATTTGTTAGGTAGGATGGTAATGTGTGGCAACTGGACGAGTGCAGTTCCTGCAAGTGCCACGACGGCAAAGTAAGCTGCGCCAGGATAACCTGCAATACCACTTGTGCCGCAGGAATGAAACAGATTAAAGTTAAAGGGGAATGTTGCAAGAAATGTGTTGAAAGTAAGTTTGTAATTTTAATGTAAGTTACTCAAATAATTATTTACAACTTTTCTAGACGATGGAGCTTGTATGGCCTTTGGTGACCCTCACTACAAAACTTTTGATGGCAAAATCTACACGTTCAAAGGGATCGGCAAATATCAACTGATAAGAGACTGCCAGAATAATACGTTTTCAATAAGGGTTGCCAATTATGTAGCAGATAAGTACATGGATTCTCCAATTACAAGACGAGTTCAGATTAATTTTGGTAAAAATCGTTTGATTTTGCAACAGCGGCTCAGGGTGAAATACAATGGACACAAAATGGCTCTACCCTTTAGAATGGAAGGTCAATTCAGGGTAAGAATAATTGTAGTTGATAGTCACACATCAGATGCAAAATAGTAAATTGATCTTTGAACTTTGGAGTAAGAATTTCTTCAAAGTCCCAGTGGCTTGTTGGTGGCCTGTATCCTGCCATTCGATTTTTAGTCGCGGCAGATTGTGTCTGATATTAGAAATTGTCTCATGCTTGAGATTCTATTATTTATGTACCTACCTACCTACTTAACAATATTTTTTTTTTTATTAATCACATCTGTTCATCCATTCTAAAGCATGATTTTTTGCGTTTGGCCCTATCAGGAACGGCACATAAATGAAACATTTTGTATCTAAATCTAAATACATCATACTGGTTACATTAACTATCCTAGACACTTTTGCTTATTGGTCTCTACTTTTTCAAATCTGCTTCGCACAGCACACAGCACATAACTCTCACTTCCACAGTGAAAACTCCGCTCCTTTTCAAATAAACAACACAGCGCACTCGTATTCCTGTACATCAACGAGGCTTTTTTTACCGTGTTGTCCTAATCCTCTTCTACATCATTGAAGAATTTCTTACAGACCGCCAGAATCCTTCATCGTCATTTCCAGTATGCGCAATTACCAATTACTTAAAAATCAACGATTAATTAATTTCACGGCCTCATTATTTGGAATTTGGATGCCTTTCAATCCACTTAAACAGGTGGTGGTGGTTCTCTGGATAATTAATTTCATCGTCGAAGTTTGTCGATTCATTTTACCATTTTTCATTGTTTTCTTGATTTTCTGTTGTGGTTGTTTGTCTTTGAAATCCCCATGGTCTGGTCCAGATCCATTTGATATCAAAGCTACTGTTACGAAATTGCATCAAGAGTCCTAAGTCTGGCTAGACTCTACGAAACCAATTATTAACGTCTGGCGTAGGATTTTCATAGATAAATCCCGAAAACAAGGTAGTCGACTATAAATGTAACCCAGTTTGAGTCAGTTTTAAATGAAAGTGTTTTATCATATATTATATCACAAGAGCTTTAAATTTAATCGATTAAACTATCCAACATATTTTGAGCATGATTTTGCTTGGAAAATAGTTGAATGCACAATAACTTAAATAATAATAAAATAATTTAAAAGTTATTGTGCATGAAACTATTTGCCAAAAAGCAAAATTATGCGAAAAATATTTGGATAGTTTAATCCATTTAAATTTATAGGTCGAGTGGTATACGGCTAGATTATTTCCTGAATAATTAGGATTGAATTGTTGGCGTCAATCCTATCCGAAGAGTTCTATTTATTATAAACTGTCACAATATTTCTATCAAAATTCTGTCAAAAAAAGGTAAACAAAAATTTAATCGCTGATAAACACGGTCTTGTGCAATAATCACTTATTTAAACAAAATTTATTCAAAAAATTACGTTGTCTGATTGGTCTATTTTATAATGAATGAAATAATCAGTTTTAAATACCTAAGAGTTTTTTGTTCCGCTTGGTTGTAACCCCTTTTGTTAATGAATTAACAAGAGGCCCATAATATGCTCAGTTTGCTCAGCGAATAATTATTAAGGGTGGGTTGATAGTTTAATAAGTACAGAATGGCAAGGGCGCCACTGAATTCAAAAAAAAATAAAATAATAATTACATAAAATATGGAAAGGTGGAAATTCAGAAACACACCTAAAAAAATTATCAGCAAACGGTAATTGATAACTCTGAAAAGGGTATAAACAGGGCACATAACTCAACCTAATCCTGACATAGGTAAACCAATAAAACAAATAAGCAAGTTTCAAACTAAATTAGCGTATATTTCACAGTGAGGTCAAAAATCAAGTGTTGAATAACTTCAAAATATAAAATCAATTGCTGGTAAAACACTTTAACTAAAATCAATAAATAGAGGTTAACTCTCTATCTGTTGCATCGAATTCAAAACAAAAAATTAATATTACAATAAACAGGGTGTTTCAAATTCGAGCCACATCATTGGGATCTCGGAAACGGTAAGAGATATAGGGTTGGTTAAATTGGGGCAAAGTTGCGTAATTTCATGCTTAACAAAATGCGTCTCCGATATTTAGGATATTCCGAAAACTTCCGGAGATATCCCGAAAAAACCGAATTTTTTGCAAAATGGTTTTTATTTTTTCCTGACTTTATTTGAAGTGATATTCAAATAAAAATATCACTTCATCGTAGCCACTTTTCTCTCCTACAAGATGCTTCCATCAAATTCAAAACCTGACGTTTCGTCTTTCCGCCACCATCATCAACTTCATTTTTTCAAAAACAGGCCCTTATTTTTTATTTTAGATCTTATGAGCTTCTGATGTCCCTAGAAAAAAACATTTTTTGAATAAATGCGATACGTCATAGGTTTTGGGACATCAGAAGCTCTTAAAATTTGAAATAAAAAATCCAGAGTTTATTTAGAAAAACAAAGTTGATGATGGTGGGCCAAAGACGAAACGTCAGATTTTCAATTTGATGGTAGCATCTTTTAGGGGAGAAAAAGAGGCAATGATGAAGTATGAGGTGATATTTATTTTGGGATATCTCTTCAAATAAGCTCAGAAAAAAATAAAAATTTTCAAAATTTTCGTTCGTTCCGGATATCTCCAGGAGTATTCGGAATATCGTCAATATCAGAGCGGCATTTTATTCAGCATCAAATTACGCAGCTTTGCCCTAATTTAACCAACCCTGTATCTCTCAACGTTTCCGAGTTCGCAATGATGTGGCTCGAATTTGAAACACTCTGTACCTCAATATACTTGCATTTAAATTCATTAACAGTTGCTACCAGAAAATAAAATCAGTAAAATCAAATTTAAACTTTATGAAATCAAAGGTTAAACGCTGAAGGGATAAAAAAGATATAACTGAAATCCTCAAGTTTATAAATAATAAAACCCAGATGAAAAATTGATCAATTTTTGGCGGTATAAGTACTTACACTATAATTTCAAATTTAGAACTTATTTTTTTTTTAAATTGCAGTACCAAAAGTGAAGTAAAGATAAATCTATAATAAATACGGTTAATCCAAAGTTAATTATTCCACCATCGCCTCGGTATCAAGAATGAGAGATTTTAAATGTGTATGTAAGTAAAAATAATGAATTATGGTAATTGATCATAAAATAGATTTCATACAAAAAAAAAGGTAATAAAAGCTATTATTGAAACGCTATACAAGCCTCAATTTCAACGAAAACATTAGAAACGGTAGCCATCCATTTGACTTGACGAGAGAAGTTGCAAATGGAAGTTACATCTTCTATCCTAGAATCAAGGTAGATAGAGGCTGGAAATTCAGTTTTCTTCGTCAAATGCGGAGGTACAGGTACCGACACGTGGGGGACTCGATTCCTCCAGGAAATCACTTGAAGAGCTCTATGCCTACGCTGCACGGAAATTAGGTCCTATTGAAAATAGATTTCTTGAGAAAAACAGCTCCTCGGAAAAAACGGCTCCCCGGTAAAAAAAACAGCTCTCCCCACCCCCCCCCCCCCCCCCTCCCCCCACCCTCAAGGGAAATATCTTATTCTTCTTGTTCATAGGTTAAGACTCAGTGTTGTCGTCTTCTTCAACTCCCTAATCTTGAGATGTCGATGTCCACCTTTCAATCGTGATATCGCTTCCGCTGTCTTCCGGGTACCGAGTAGCCTGAACTGTAACGAATAGAGATATTTTCTCTGTCTCTATTGACGTCCCCTCTCTATTGATTTTGAGAGGAGAGATGAAGACAGCAAGCGATAGGGGAAACCTCGGGGAAACGATCTTATCTGTTACAGAGTTCCAGCCCTGGAGCTATTTGGCTTCTGGTTTTTTACCAATCGGTCGTCAGTCATTCTTTCTACATGATCTCCTCAAGCTTCTTCTTTCTCTGGCCCATCTCAAATATCGCAGGTAATTTTCTCGTTTCTTTTCCTACCATAGAACTCGTATTTCAGTTGTTTTTAGCAGACGCTTATAGATAAAACCAACTAAGAAAAAGCCACCGCGTGACCTTTTTTGTCTCACTTCAAATGGAAGGGGCCTTAGAGAAAACGAAATTTGCCTTATTCGTCAGTGATGACGTCAGGGGTTCTTCTCAGTTGATTCTAACTACAGTTGCCGTTTTTCCGCTCGTTTCGACGGCGTATGTCATCACTAGGGTTTCCAAGTTTCGGGATCGGAATCCCGAGATTAAAAAACTAGATCCCGAAATCTCGGGATTAACCCGAATATATTTTTTGAATCTAACACCACACCATGAAGGGAAGTAACAGAATTTTTTTCAGCCTGTTTACTACTGTTTACTAATTTTCTAGTTACAACTCACAAGATACAAGACTAACAAACATCGGTAAAGAAGTATAATACTGAGCGCCGCGCCATACCGGAATTGAGGAATTCCTCGTCCGCGGTAGGTGATTCCCACTTCCCACGTCTGTTGTAACCTATTACATACGTAAATTACCAGGGCAAAGCTAAATAACACGCGGAGAAAGAGAAAAGGAATAAAGCAGATTGAAATTCGATCATTTAAAAAAATCGTGATTTTCGGGATCCCGATTTTTTTATCCCGAAAAATCTCTCGGAATCCCGGGATTTCGGGATCTCAGGATTTCGGGATCCCGGATTGGAAACCCTAATCCTCACTGGTCTCTGGTCTCACACACGTTTTGAAGATTCTAAGTTTGCTTTCCGTACTCATGCTCATATGCTTGTTCCTCCAGGTGATATCTCGTAAGTACCCGAATATTAAGGTAGCTTTTGATGTTTGAGCTCTCACCTCTTCCTCTATATTCCTAATACTTGTTCTGTTTGCTCCAAGATAATTGAAGGCCATCACTTGTTCCACACTTTGATTATAAACGGCGAGTTTGCATCTTCATGACTCTTTGGAAATGATTGTATTTTCTGGGTGGAAATTTGCATTTTGCATTTTTTTGTGATTTGTTCTAACCTGTCTAGAAGTATTTGTAAGTTGTCTTCATCTTCGGAGATTGGAACCGCTTCGTCAGCGTAGCACATT